TTGTTGTCTCGGATTCTCCAGCATCTGCAGTTCCTACTATCTTGAATGTGCTGTCGGTTCTCAAATTCAAGCACAAGTTTCCAGAGTAATCCATTTTGAATCCCTCCAAACAGACTGCAAACTCAAGCACAGTACAAAAAAGGGTCTTAAAGACATAAATTATGTTCTACTTGACTGCGACAAAGCTAACCTACCCTTACTTGTCCACCACAACTGACAGACTGTGATCTTTTTTAAAAAGCAATAAAACTAAAAAAAATGCCTCACCGTTAATCGTTTCCCAGATCCTAATTTCTGTTGCTCAGAATCTTGTCTGGATTCTGCATCTGTGGCAATAGCTAGCACCTGGTACCTGATATGGGAGACAAAAAAAAGCATTTTTTTTCCAATCATTATGATGAACACACCCACAAAAAACATTTTTCTAACATTGCCTCCAGAGTGCTTTAAGATGTTTTCCAATCTTAAGGGTGCTATTTAAAAAACGGGTTGGGGACCCATAGACTGAAACTGTTTTAAGTTGCAAAAATGCACCATGTATTCATTTTAAAGAAAATACAAAGCTAAAACTCAACAGTTCTGCAGCACAGAAAGCGGAACTTTGACAGGTCATACTGCACCAATTTTTTCAGCAGCAATTAAAATTGATCCCGCTGCTCTGAACTCTCCTTCAGCTTTAAATATTTATCGCATTTTCCCCTAAAGTAAACGATAGTTTAGACGTCAATCAATGTGAAGGAAGTACTTTGTGCTGCGAATCCAGTCCCTGATATCAAGAAATTTGCCTGAATTTCAAACCTCCTATGATATGGCACTTTGAAAGGCATTATTAGGAAAACTCAGTGCTCATAAAATTGAAGGTTACTTTATGACAACAGTAGTTTAGAGTTAGGAAATAGCAGAGAAGCAAAGGATGTACTCAGATTAAGAAATAGGACAAATAATCTCCTCTGTCACCTGTATTCGGGCTCAGCTATTTATCATATATATCATTGTCTTCTTTGATGGTAGATGGTGCAGAATATCCAAGTTTGTAGATGGCAAGGAAACGCAGTGGTATAAATCAGCATAGAAAGTCATAAAACAATATAGATTGTGAGAGTGGCCAAAACAGAGGAAGATGCAATTTAATGTCAACAAATATGAAGTCACCCAAGGAGGACAAATCAAAACGGTTTCTAAATTGTGAAAAACTAGAAATTGTAAGGGAGGAAAGGAATTTTGAATCCCCGTATATAAATCACTAAAATTCAGCAGCCAAGGACAAAATGTAATCAAAATCCCAAATGTAATGGCAGATGTTATTTCAAAGGGAATAAAACAGAAAAAAAGCAATGCTTCATTTATATAGAGCCTTAGTTAAACCAAAAATAGACTACTGGATTCAGTTCTATGCACTATATTATTGACCTCAGAGAGGGTGCTGCATAGAATTCACCAGATTTATATCACTGCTTAAAGGACTAAATTAGGAGGCTATCTTGCAGAAATTTCAGATGGCTGAAGTGATAAATTGTGGTTTTCAAATGATACAAGTAGATACAGAAAAGCTATTTCCTCCTATGGGAGAAGTCCAAATAAAATCAAAATGGCATAATCTTGAAATTATAGCTAGGCCCTTTAGAAGCAAAATCAGAAAGCATTTCTTCCCATGAGAAATAGTGAAAAACTAGAAATCATTTCTGCAAAAGAATGTAGATTCTGCATCAACTGATTGTTCAAGACCAAGATGAGGATGTTTGTTAAGGAAAGATATCAAAGACAAGATAGGATGTGTGAAGTTTAGGTAGCGTTTTGATGACTGTTCCGATAACAAGTCATGGATTCGAAACGTTAACTCTGCTTACTTCCCACAGATGCTGCCGGAACTCCTGAGTTTCATCAGAAATTTCTGTTTTTGTTTCATTCTCAACATGTCAGTTACCCCTTTCTGCTCTCACAGGTCTACCAGCAAAGAGCTGGCTGAAACATGGCACTGTTAGATACCCAGGAGCACAGTCTGCTCATTCATTTTAGTCAGAGCTTTGAGTTAGACAATAAAAAAATTAGATTATTTCCTATATAAAATCTAATTATTCAGTATTTCAACAGACACAACTCTTTGGGATTTACAGCCCTGTAAGCAATGCTTCTATACGAAAGACACTATATAAATGAGAGAAAATTTTAATGACTTGTTCTGCCTTCTTTATCTTTGTATAAATTTTCTTTAATGTGGAGCACAAATTCTGAGGTTGTAGCATTTTGGCTCTTAAAAACTGATGTGGCTAAAGTGCAGGAATATTATTTCTCGTTTCAAATAAATGCTTTATTGTCATAATAAAACAAACTCCTAGAGAGTGAAATATGTGCATAATGGCTTGACCATTGGAGAATTTAGACAGTATATGTACCAAGAATTATCAATAAAATTAAATATTCATGTAATAATTTATGCCTGTCAAAAAAACTAAGTCAATTCAGTCTCAATACCACAAAGCTTCCTAAGTATGTTAGTAGTTAGAACAGTCCAACCACAACACTCACTACACTGAGAAAGTTGGTTTCTTCAATGTTATTTCCTAAACATAATGCAAATATGAATTATTAACCATGCATTAATGTAGAAACCAAACCCATTTGCAGTTAATTGATCATTTTGTCTTCAACATATTATGTACATTAAAGACAAGAAATATATAGGACTCACTTATAGTTTTCAACTTGCCGACTTGAGGACACAGTAATGAAGGAGTCTGTCCTTGAGCTGTATTTCAGCGGGCCTGGCAAAAGACAACCAGGCAAGAAACGTCCAAAAGCAAAGCTTTCCTGCTCAAAAAACGTTAGCATTCCATCCATAGACTGAATGCAAATCAAGTCTCGACCTAAATTTAAAAGAAACACATTGGAGTGACATCCCACCACACAACAACCATGGAGTTTTTGCTATCATGTTAGATCAGTCTCCAGAATTTCTTCCTGTTTCCATACCTTAGGGCAAAGAGTTTGAAGGTATTTACAGAAAGCAGATGTGAATCATAGCAACTAGTTTGTGTGAAGGCCTACAGACAATTAAGGATAAGAAGAGAGAGTCAGAGACAGAAAGACAAATACACAAAAACAGAGACAGTGAGAAGCAGATGCATTTTTTTAAAAATGTAGAACTGACTTAAAAAAAACCTGTCTCTGAATTGTAGAAATAAGAAATGGAAAATCAGATTTTCCTATTGTATAAATAAGAGCTGGGGAGCTCAACCAAAACACACCAGAATAGCTAACCCCATTATGATCACACTCCTTCTGTTGTTCAACTTCATGTTCATCTTTGTTATCCTTTCATAAACATCATGCCAGAACTGTGCTCAGAACAAGTTCACATTTTTGTTCAAGAAATATTTTTACAACATAAAATATAAACAAATGTTTGGCAATGAGGTTAATGCATTAAATTTGCAGCACCAAACAAACCTCTCCAACGTTATGAGATAACAAGATGTAGAGCTGGAAGAAGGGTCTAGACCCGAAACGTCAGCTTTCCTGCTCCTCTGATGCTGTTTGGCCTGCTGTGTTTATCCAGCTCTACATCTTGTTATCTCAGATTCTCCAGCATCGGCAGTTCCTACTATCTCTATTTTAAATATCATTTGTTTTGTTTTAATCATTTGCTTTACAGCTATAATGAAGCAATTAAAGTGCAATTACGTAACAATTGGAAGACGCAGAGGAAAGTGTGGAGAATAATACAAGAAAGTTCACTAGGGCTCATGGAGAGTAACCCTCAGTGAAGCTCATAACATTGACACTTAGCTGATTGGTAGGAAACCTCAGCCCAGTGAGACTGAATTTAAGACTCAAAATATACTTGGTTTAAAAGGGTTGGTAGGAGTCTGAGATAACAAGGAGCTGGATGAAGGGTCCAGACCTGAAACGTCAGCTTTCCTGCTCCTCCGATGCTGCCTGGCCTGCTGTGCTCATCCAGCTCCACACCTTGTTATCTTGGTTTAAAAGGCACCTTTCTCTTTGGTGCTCAAACATTTTTCCTTCGTGGTCAAATAAATTTTAATCAAGGTGAACAAGGTGGTGGACTGAAGCTTTCTAATCATCTAGTATGTTCTATTAACTGTAATTGGAAAGAAAAACTCCTTGTGCATATATCAACATTCCTGGCTATTCAATTCAGTGTAATTTGTTTTAACCCATTTTTTTCAGTTAGCAGATCCTGGCACCGGTCCTGATGTTACTACTTACACCTCCTCTAGATCCATTTATTTTGCTTTACATCGTTCAATTTGGTTCTGTATTGTTCCATTTGCTGTGCACTTTAATCCCTTTTGTAATTTAACTTTCTGTGCTCCATCCTTACAGACATTGCCTTTTGTTTATTCCTTTTGTCATTTGTTTTACTGCTATAATGAAGCAATTAAAGTGCAATTAGGTAACAATTGGAAGACACAGTAAGGAGTTACGAAATTGGACTTTTTTCATGCTGTGTAAGGCCGCGTGGGTAAATGGAACTGAGGTGTACATTACATGTGATCTAATTGAATAGCTGAAAGGATTGAGGGACTGAATGGCTTACTCTTGTTCCTTAACAATAACAGAGGAAAAATAATTTGTTGCTAGGATTGGTGCTGGAAATAAATTAGGAAAATGATAATGAAAGGTAGAATTCACATCCCACTATTATTCAAATTCACCACAGGGTTGTTGTTCTTCTAACACGTTGAGCTGAGACACCTATGAAGGAAAGTGAATCAGGATAAAAATAACTCAGGCATCTGCTTACTGTATGAGGCATGAAACAAGAATAAGTTTCACATCAGAGATAGTAGGAACTGCCGATGCTGGAGAATCTGAGGTAACAAGGTGTACAGCTGGAAGAACACAGCAGGCCAAGCAGCATCAGAGGAACAGGAAAGCTGACGTTTCCGGCCTAGACCCTTCTTCAGAAATGGGGGAGGGGAAGGGGATTCTGAAATAAATAGGGAGAGAAGCGGAGGCAGATAGAAGATGGATAAACGAGAGGATAGGTGGAGAGGAGACAAACAGGTCAAAGAGGCGGGGGTGGAGCCAATAAAGGTGAGTGTAGTTGGGGAGTTAGGGAGGGGATAGGTCAGTCCAGGGAGGATGGACAGGTCAAGGGGGCGGGATGAGGCTAGTAGGTAGGAGATGGGGGTGCGGCTTGAGGTGGGAGGAGGGTTAGGTGGGAGGAAGGACAGGTTAGGGAGGCAGGGACACGCTGGGCTGGTTTTGGGATGCGGTTGGGGGAGGGGAGATTTTGAAGCTTGTGAAGTCCACATTGATACCATTGGGCTGCAGGGTTCCCAAGCGAAATATGAGATGCTGTTCCTGCAACCTTTGGGTGGCATTGTTGTGGCACTGTAGGAGGCCCAGGATGGACATGTCGTCTAAGGAGTGGGAGGGGGAGTTGAAATGGTTCGTGACAAACAATTGCACCTCCCAGTCGCGAACCATTTCAACTTTCAGATTTCTGAAGAAGGGTCTCGACCCGAAACGTCAGCTTTCTTGCTCCTCTGATGCTGCTTGGCCTGCTGTGTTCCTCCAGCTCTACACCTTGTTACCTCAGATTCTCCAGCATCAGCAGCTCCTACTATCAGTGTTAAAAAGTGTTGGTTTGTAAGGTTTCAATATTTTAAATACTATCAATATCGTGCTAAAATGTGTAGGATTGTAACATATCAATCCTCAAATAAATGTATGAATGAGTTAGGATTGGTTCAGTATGATTCTTCATTAATTGGATTTCCAAGTGGAACACTTGTCACAATTATGAGATTTGGATGATTGTTATGTTTTCGGACTTTAAATTTAAATGACTTTAAATTGATTTTTAAAAATTAAAGGGGGTCCAGATTATTTTCCTGGGAAGGAAGTCCAAGCGGAAAGTGTCTGCAACACTTGCAAACAGCAGGCAGCTTGTGTCTTAAAAATAGATTGACTATGTCCCCAACGTTAAAAAAACATGTTGAGTATGTTGGGTTGAAAACAATTATCCTTCTGTTTAGTTCTGAAATGAAAGAAAGCTGAAGTTTCAAGCATGGCTAATTAGCATTACTACCTAGATACAAGGCTGATTTGATTCACATTGTCATGGTGATGGCCTTTGAAATGGGAAGGCTACAGAGATATTTGTGATGGGAGAGATAGTAGGAACTGCAGATGCTGGAGAATCTGAGATAACAAGGTGTAGAGCTGGATGAATATAGCAGGCCAAGCAGCATCAGAGGAGCAGGAAGGCTGACGTTTCGGGCCTAGACCCTTCTTCAGAAAAATATTTGTGATATTGGGTTACAGGCTTTCCTAAACTAACGCTGAATATCCCAGACAGTTCAGAATGCCAGGATCTGGGAGACTTAGCAGCTAGAGGCTAAATGGTTCACCACAGCATAATGTTATACTGGGATTGAAAAGAAAACTTTAATGAGGATTAAAATGATGCTGGAAGATTTGTCTGCTTTAAACTAGGGTAAGATCTTCAGAAACTACTCTCACCATAAAGGACAATTCTAGGTTAAGAAGTTACCAGGTTGATAAAGGAAAACAAAAGAAGTTAACCCTCAAAAGCTAAGAATTACTAACTGATTTTGGGAGAATTGATTGTAACTTATAGGTCAGTAACATATACTTGCAAAAAGTGGTTTTAGTTGTGTTAAGAATCAGAAAGGAGTACAACGTTCTGTGGTTTAAAATAGAAATTGCCAACAAATCAAGTTTCAGTGTTTAGATAACAGTGTGGAGCTGGAGGAACACAGCAGGCCAGGCAGAATCAGAGGAGCAGGAAAGTTGACGTTTTGGGTCAGATGGCAGTGAATTAAAAAAAAAGGCTTAAAATGTTGCCAAAAAGAAGAGCAAGGTTGAGGATTGGGAAAGTTTACAATCCAGCAAATACTTAGCAAAAAAAAAGGAGGAAACAAAAACAGATGCAAACGAGCACAAGATATAAAAACAGGTTGTTGATATCATAAAAAGTGTCATATTACAGAGGAGATGGCGCTGGACATCTTAAAGCGCGTAAAGGTGGATCGTCAACTTTCCTGCTCCTCTGATGCTGCCTGGCCTACGGTGTTCCTCCAGCTCCACACAGTGTTATCTCTGACTCCAGTATCTGCAGTTCTTACTATCTTGAACTTTCAGTGTTCTAGTCTTTTGTTATGGTAAAGGTCTTGTGGTGCCATCTTTTCAATTGTTAACTAGAAGTCTGCATTTCTTTTTAGAAGTTATCAGTCTCTACAGAGCTTTTAACATACTTAATTGCAACTTCCATTTATGTATTACTTTTTAGTGTTAAAAAGAGTCCCCATGGGACTTAAGAGATGTCTGGAAAGTAGATGCTGCACCAATAAAATTGAAGGGAGATGGACGGAAAATTTAACTTTATGTTTTTTTTTAAAGATGTGTCAAGGAAAAGGATTTTAGGGAAGGAAGTCCAGAGAGAAGAACTCAGACAACTGAATACTGCCGTTATTGGTAGAGCATAGAGGACAATGCACAAGAGGGTGAGTCAAAGGAATGGAGAGTTTTTGGAGGGGATGGAGTTGTTTGTGTGAGAAATTACAAGAGATTGTAGAGCTCTAGAGGAGCTGAAGCAATGGTGGCATTTTAAAATTGAATTAATCAGAGTTAAGATAGCAAGAAAATGGGAGCTGGGAAAATTTGGTAAGGGATCTAATATATGCAGCAGTTATTCGAAATTTAAGAATGGCAGAAAGGTGAGTGATTAGTAGGGAATGTGTTGGATTGGTTGAGCTTAGAGATGGCAAAGCCATATAAAAGATTTTTAGCTGCAGACTGATGTAGTTAGGACTAGAGGCATTTTGCAGTAGGAAAATGTCATCTACAATAAACAAAAACAGAAATTGC